GGGGTTTCACCATGTTGACCAGGATGGTCTCGATCTCTTGACCTTGTGATCCACCCGCCTCGGCCTCCCAAAGTACTGGGATTACAGGCGTGAGCCACCGCGCCCAGCCAGAAAAAAATTTTTTTAATAAATAAGTTTTAAAAATTAGCCAGGTGCCATGGCACACGCCTGGAGTCCCAGCTACTTGGCAGACTGAGGCAGGAGGATCCTCTGAGCTCAGGAGGTCGAGGCTGCGGTGAGCTGATCGTACCGCTGCACTCCAGCCTGAGCGAAGAGCCAGACTCTGTCTCAAAAAACTAAACCAAAATAAAACAAAAGAGGAAACTCGATAGGGAAGGTGTGCAAGAATTGTGCTGAGTACAAAGTGTGTGTGTCTTGTTCCGGTGGCTGTCTTGGGTCTCGGTCCATCTGGAGCGCAGGCTGGCATCGTCTCATTAACGGCTGCGTTGTTGACTCACCGCCTCGAGGTAATCGCTGGAACTTTGCAGCTGGGTCTCCAGGCTTGGTCTGTCTGTCTCAAGATTAGCCCCTGGACCCTCCAAGTAAGCCCATAATTACATACAAATATACAGTTAGATAAATATGCATGGCGTAAAGGAGTTTATGGTGAGAAAGAGAGGGATGTGGTTGAAAGAAAGTCCATTTCGGCCAGGCACAATGGCCCACGCCTGTAATCCTAACACTTTAGGAGGCAGAGGTAGGAGGATCACTGGGGCCCAGGAGTTCAAAACCAGCCTAGGCAACATAGTGAGACCCTGTCTCTACAAAAAATAAGCAAAACTAGCAGGGTGTGGTGGCATGCACCTGTAGTCCCAGTTACTTAGGAGGCTGAGGTGGGAGGATGGCTTGAGTCCAGGAGGCCGAGGCTTCGGTGAGCCAAGATCTCGCCACTGCATTCCAGCCAGAGCAACCGAACGAGACCCTGTCTCAAATAAATAAATACATACATACATAAGAAAATAAAGAAAGAAAGTACCCGTCAAGGCTCTATCTTAAGACTAAGGAGAAGAAAAAAAGATTTCTGCAGTAAGCTTTAAGGTTACATGCTGAGACTCAAGAGAAAATAAAGAAAAGCTTAAAAATGCATTGAAATTGGCCAGCGCGGTGGCTCATGCCTGTAGTCTCAGCACTTTGGGAGGCCGAGGTGGGTGGATCACAAGGTCAGGAGTTTGAGATCAGCCTGACCAACATGGTGAAACCCCTGGGCGTGATGGCACATGCCTGTAATCCCAGCCACTCAGGAGGCTGAGGCAGGAGAATCACTTGAACCTGGGAGGCGGAGGTTGCAGTGAGCTGAGATCTTGCCACTGCACTCCAGCCTGGACGACAGAGCAAGACTCTGTCTCAGAAAAAAAAAAAGCATTAAAGTTGGCCAGACTCGGTGGCTCACGCCTGCAATCCCAGCACTTTGAGAGGCTGAGGCGCGAAGATCACTTGAGGTCAGGAGTTCAAGACCAGCCTGGCCAACATGGTGAAACCCCGTCTCTACCAAAAATACAAAAATTAGCCGTGTGTGATGGCTCGTGCCTGTAATCCCAGCTACTCAGCAGGCTGAGGCACAAGAATCGTTTGAACCCTGTAGACGGAGGTGGCGGTGAGCCAAGATCCTGCCACTGCACTCCAGCCTGGGTGACAGAGCAAGAATGTGTCTCAAAAAGAAAAGATGCATTGAAGTTGAGCTGCCTGGTTACAGAATGACAGAATAGGTGGTTGGATGGATGTAGGTAGGTTTTGAAAAGTGATTCCGGCGTGTGTCCGGGGCTGCATAGGGAGCCCAGAGAAAGGTTGCAGAGGGCTGCAAGCACCGCAGGGCCCAGCGGTGTACCCGCCGGGAGCTTCATCCACCTGCAGGAGGGGGCGCCCTTGACTAATTCCCACGCAGGCGCTCTGTGGCCTGTGGTGGCTCCGTGTGTGACCAGGTGTGGGACCAACGGCCTGGCCTGGCCCGCCTGCCCAGCTCAGTGCTCCACTCCCCGCCACCCCAGGTGTCCCGAGTGGACGGCACTGTGGACACGCCCCCCTGCCTGTGCCTGACCCACCGCACCTGGGGCTCCCAGAACAGCCTGGTGGAGATGATCTTCCTGCGGCTGAGCCTCCCAGTCCAGTTCCACCAGCACTTCCGCTGCACCGCAGGGGCCACCCCGCTGGCACCACCCGGCCTGCAGCCCCCCGCCGAGGACGAGGCCCGGGCGGCGGAACCCGACCCTGACTACGAAAGCCTGCGCCGCTCAGCTGGGGGCTGGGGCGAGGCCGAGAGCGGGAAAGAGGGGACTTCGAAGGAGGGCGCCCCCGGGGGCACCCCGCAGGCCGGGGGAGAGGCACAGCCGGCCAGGGCAGAGAATGAGAAGGACGCCACCACCGAGAAGAACAAGAAGAGAGGGTGAGTCGAGGGGGGCCAGAGTCGGGCTTGAGGGCTGCCTTGGGACCCCCAAGTAGGTAACCACAGTAACCTGGGAAACCCCCGTTTTACCTCAAAGTAGCCCCATATAAGCTAAGCAAAGTAAGAATACCGAGAGAGCCTATCATGTCTCCAATAAACCACGTTATTTTCCTGGGGTGCCCTAATGTCCCTAAGAATGTCTACTTGGGCACCCTACTGTATGTATGGAGAACTCTCTTACCCTTGAGTACCTAGAGGACCCCAAAGGCCTTCGCCCAATACACCGCCACCCATGGACACTAACAGGGACTTCAGTATCTTCCTGGGAGAATTTACGGTACCCAAAGGTATCCCAGTGAACACCCAGTGGCCTTCTAAATGGGGATCCTTTCTGTGTCACAAATGTACCCCTGAAAAGCTAACTTAAAGGGAGCAACCTCCGCCTCCCAGGTTCAAGCAATTCTCCTGCCTCAGCCTCCCAAGTAGCTGGGATTACAGGCAGGTGCCACCACTCCCAGCTAATTTTTGTATTTTTAGTAGAGAGGGGGTCTCACCATGTTGGCCAGGCTGTTCTCAACCTCAAACTCCTGACCTCAGGTGTGAGCCACTGTGCCCGACTCATTTTTTTTTTTCTCCCGAGACGGAGTCTTGCTCTGTTTTCTAGGCTGGAGTGCAATGGCACAATCTCGGCTCACTGTAACCTCCACCTCCCAGGTTCAAGCAATTCTGTCTCAGCCTCCCTAGTAGCTGGGATTACAGGCATGTGCCTCCACATCCGGCTAATTTTTTTTTATTTTTGGTAGAGATGGGTTTTCACCATGTTGGCCAGGCTGGTCTCCTGACCTCGGGTGAACCCTACCATGGCAGTGGTTTTCAATGGGATTGAAAACCCACTGTGTCTCTTGGTGGGTGTTTGGAAATGATGGAGTCTTTGTGGTCATAACAATTTGGGGGGCTGCTGCTGCTGGGTGGGGGTTGCAGGGGTCCCACCTGCCTTGCAGTGTACAAAACAGTGCCGCATAATGAAGAATTGTCCTTTTCCAAGGAATTGTCCTTTTCACCCATATGAGAAATACATGTGGGAAATGCTGACTTAGGGAGACCCCTGTATACCCCAGTGGGGACCCCCATATTCCCAGAAGGTGCCTTTAATTTGGGTAACTCAGCATCCACAGGCGCAGAGTGCAGTGCTTTCAGAATGGATGAGGCTGGAGAGGGTGGGAGTTCCAGCCCTCCAGAGGCAAGACCTGGGGTATTAGAAGCAGGGTGTGGCCAGGCCCGATGTGGGGGCATGAATGCCGGTTCTCATGGCACCTCTCCCCCACCACCAGCTTCTTATTCAAGGCCAAGAAAGTCGCCATGATGACCCAACCACCGGCCACCCCCACACTGCCCCGACTCCCTCGAGATGTGGTGCCTGCAGACAACCGTGATGACCCGGAGATCATCCTCAACACCACCACGGTGTGGACCAGGAACCCTCAATTTTGGGGTCCCCCACATAGCCTGGCCACTCCTAAATTTCCAAGTTTAGTGTTATTGTCACCAGTAACTTCCCACCTTGCACTAGGGACTTCCCACTATACACCAGAAACTCACAAAGTATGGCACACATGGATTTAATCCTTTGAACCCCTAAATCCATATAGCTAGTGGCCTGCAAATGGGAGGGGGGTATGGTAGAGGTGTAAGGCACACTGATATAACTCCCGAGGATCCCAAAAACCAGAGGATAAGCCAATATAGAAAAGGGACCCCAACATTTGGGCTCACCCATATAAACACAGTACCCCAAATGTAATACCTACTCTAATATATTACTGGGAATCAAAATTCATAACTGTCTTAATATAGTTTGGGGATTCCCCAAATCCAAAATATTTTATAGACAGACATCCTGGTGCAGAGTCCTAACCATTTTGGCACCAGGGACCAATTTCATGGAAGACAATTTTTCCATGGACGAGGGATTGTTTCAGGATGAAACTGTTCCATCTTGAATCATCAGGCAAAGATTCTTTTTTTTTTTTTTTTTCTTCCCCTGAAACAGTCTTGCTCTGTCGCCCAGGCTGGAGTGCAGTGGCACAATCTCGTCTCATTGCAATCTCCACCTCCCAGGTTCAAACAATTCTCCTGCCTTGGCCTCTCTAGCAGCCGGGATTACAGGCACCTGCCACCACACCCAGCTAATGGTTGTAATTTTAGTAGAGATGGGGCTTTGCCATGTTGGCCAGGCTGGTCTCAAATTCCTCAATTCAGGGATCTACCCACCTCAGCCTCCTAAAGTGCTGGGATTACAGCGTGAGCCACCATGCCTGGCCATAGATTTTTTTTTTTTTTTTTTTT